ACCAGTTTGGTTGTGCATTTGTAATCAGTTTGATTATAGTGGATTAAGTCCTCGTTGAGAGAGGCGAAATCACCTTGGCGGGTGGACTGGAGTAGTTTGAGTTTCAAACGAACCAGGATAAAAATACCAGTGTTCTTCCATTAGTATTGCGCAAGAAAAAGGAAAAAATTATTCAACCCCCCCCCCCCCCCCCCCCTCTAAGTGTTTTCTCACCCTTCAGTTGGCTTGTGTAAAGCCATCTCCTCGGCATCAACGTCTGCTGAATCTTCCACTTCAGTTAAGCAATCATATTCTGCTGGCAGAATTGATACCACATTAACTAAGATATTCAAACTCTCTTCAGACTCAGACTCAAAATTGTCAGTAGCTTCTTCAAAACACTTAGCAACTGGTCGACTCACGAACTCTTTGATCTGTTCTTTTGTAGAGCAATAGACCTTCACTTTATACTGCTTCTGATTGCCAGCTTTGTTTGCAGCAATCTGGCCAGCAAATGCTTTCCTCTCAACCTGCTTTCGACGCTGGAAGCGTCTCCATTGGGTTCGAGTCATGGGATTCTTCCCCATGTAATTTTCAGAAATATAACTTTTCCTCTTAGACTTAAACTCATGTCGGTAGTTAATAGTCGACTTTCCTTTATTTGGGTCTCTAGAAATAGCACCATCAATTGGTGCCCCCTTCTCCCTTGAGGCTTAATCCAAGTACTGTTAGGAGCTTTTGCTAAAGGAATATAACTTCTTGGTTTGGCATGGGAGTTTCCCACAGTTCTTCTTGGGTCCCTTGGTGTAGGGAACCTTTGATTGTACGGCTTGCCCTTGTTCTTTTCTAACTGCAGTTTCTGGAAATTTTCAACATCTATTTTTTCAGTCAAGGCGCCACACCTAGGACACAAGCAAGCTTGTGAACCTTTATTATTACAGCGGTAAAGGAAGTCTAGCAAGTCCTCCTCAGGCCTTGGGTACACATCAGCTAAGTCGACATCAGGACTTTCTCTAGTACCCTCTTCGACCATATCATCATCAAAAAACTCAATAATTTCTACCATGTTGATGTCAACATGGTCAAGAAACAAAGCCTCCTCTTGCCTAAGAGGATCAATATCAATCTTCACTTTATGTGCAGCAAATTTCAATCTACCCTCCTGCAACGATTTTTGTACGAGATCCCTGAAAAGATAACATTGAGAGGTTGTGTGACCAAGATAATTATGAAATTTACAAAAACCTATTTTATGTCGTTGTTCTAATGGTGGTAACTTAGCACCTGGGGGTACTAAAATTTGACCATCTTTAACTAACAAATCAAAAATTTCTTCACATTTAGTGACATCAAATGTATATGTTTTCGACCGTATTTTTTTCCTTTAGCAGGAAATAGTAATTTACATTCATATGCTGGGCCTGGCTTCACTTCAGCCACGTCGACCTCTGCCTCTATTGATGAGGTATAGTCGGCCTCACAAATGGGATCTGTGTCATCATAATCTACGAAGGCTACTTTTTCTTTCTTAGTCCTAGCCTTAGTATGTCTGACCTTTTCTAGTCGCAGACGCTTTAGATGTCGAACTTTATCAGCTAACTGTGACATACTCTTCACGAAGGTCAGATCTATTTTCTTCCTAATGAAATAATCTAAACCTCCAGCAGCCATTTGAACAAGCTCATGTTCTGATACTTGAATAAAGCATCTTGCTTTCAATGACCTAAATCTATTTAGATAATCATCAATGGTTTCAGAAAACCTTCTTTTAATGTTTGACAATTCAACCAAACTAATTTTCGAATGACCCTCATAAAACTGTTCATGGAAAAGTTTTTCCAACTTAGTCCATGAGTCAATCGAATTTGGAGGCAAAGTGGTAAACCACGTGAAAGCTGCCTTAGTAAGGGAAGAAGGAAAATGTTTTACCCTTAAGTTTTCATTATTCGACATATCCCCAGATTCAGTCAAATACCTAGCAATATGTTCCACTGTCGACTCTCCAGATTCTCCCCCGAATTTTGTATACTTAGGAATTTTCCATCCTTTAGGGTTTTCAATCTGTAAGATATATTCATACAAAGGGGAAGAATATGTTGGCCTCTGAAGTATGATATTCATACCATTCCTATCCATAATTCTTTCAACAATGGTGGTTAGATTATTTTCTACAGCTAAATCCTCTGGTCGAATTTGTTCAACAATTTGATCAGCCTCTTGATGTTGATGTAATAATACCCTAGGTGGATCGACAATCAAATTCCTTGGAGGTACTAGCACTTATCCCTGATGGACAGTTTCATCCTGTATTTCCCCATGTCCATTTGACCAGGGGCATCTAGTCGAACAAGTGGCGCCTGTCGAATAGGTGATGGGGGAGCACCTAAAAAATTAAATAAACGTGTTAATTGGGCAATCACCTGTCGATTTGTTTTAGCAGACTGCTTATTAGTCTCAGCCAACTCTTGTACTATAGGATTAAATACATTACCCATTTGGTTAGTTAACATATTAACCAACTCATGGCTACTATCATTCATTTGTTGCCTTAACACTACTACTGAAGTGTTAGCGAGAGGCGGTACTATTGGTTGAGAAGGCATTCCTCTAATTTGGTTGCCTTTATTATTTCCTCCTGGTGCAGATCCTTGTAAAGGGGAGTTCAAATATTGAATAGTATTTAACACCACTGCTGCATTCGACGTTGACTGGTATCCTGGCATCATGGAATACGGCATTCCATAAACAAGATCCACATTACTAAAACGAGGCACATTAGGTATGGTGGTCGTAGTCATTACAGGCCTTGGGCTTCCCGATGGAGCCTGAGAAATTTGTGCGAAACCTGCTGTAGTTGACCCGACTTGAGGAAAAGGTGCAACTTGAGAAACTATTGGATCAGTAGTAGTTAAAGTTCGTGACGGTATTTCGTTTACGTTGGATTATCAAGAATTGTCATTCTTGATATATGCTTCCTAGATGATGGTTTATTATACTCTTTGGTTAACTTTCCATTTCTAAGCTGCATACACTTAAGACAAATTCTTAGCATTGTATCCCACTGGACATGCCAATTTGTTTACTGTGGAAAATGGTAAACAACCGGTGATCCTCCCAAAGTCCTAAAACTAAGGGTAACTCGCAAGATCGACCAGTTGATCTTAAGACATGTGCTAAGAGTTTTATTATTATACTTATTCTATCGAAATCCTTATCAAGGGAAATGATTTTCTATGACTAAGGGAACAAGTATAACGACTTTCCACATTATAAATCGATCGACTGACTGGTGACTCGTGACCGACAGAAGGTATTCATATGAAAATAAGATTCAATAAACTAACTGACTAGTGACTCGTGAACGACAGAGAACATTGAATTGTTTACGCGAAGTAGAAAATAACGTAAAGACTTTGTTCGACAGTACATAGAAAGCAAATAAAGTATTCAAAAGAGATAATTGAAAAATAAAGGATTTGCATTGAAATAAAAGTGGTGATTCACGTACGTCAAGCACTTTTTCACTCTTTGTTTCCTAACGCTCGGAATGACAGAGTTTTGACAAGTGATTTGAGCATACAAGTGAACACACCAAAAAAACTATACTAAATTTGATTATTTATAATATTTACAATGTAACTACCTAGATGAAATCTACGGACAATATTAAAATCTTGAGACAACCACTTCACTGGATGTCGCCACCTATTTGGCACTTAAACAAATTGTAAACCGCTGGCAACTGTTGATGACTTTGAAATTTAAATCTTCCCGCTCCACGCTTCTTAAAGTAAACCGCTTCTGACTCGCTTCGACACTTTCCCTTTGGTAAGATTTAAAAATCAACAATTCCTCTAAGTCCATAAACCCTTTTGGTTGACAAAAACCAATTTCGACCATTTTTCTTGTCTTTTACCCTTTGGTCGACTAAATCAATTTCAACCATTTCTTAACATATATTCTTTTATTTCCTTTTGGTCGACCTGACTCTGTTTCGACAGTTTGGCGTGACATTCCCTTTAAATATTAAATCTAGTTTAATAAAACTAAATTTTCAAACACTTTGGCTCTAATTTCCCAAAAGCCCCTACTTTAGAAGATGACCCTTAGTTTATGAGAATATCCACATTTAATACACGTGCTTGAATACCTTAAAAATTTTCAAAATAACACCCACACAGTTATCACTTTAAAATTTTGAGTGAATATATAATGTGTCTCTCACAAATATGTGTTTCTCATAAAGATGTGTCTCAAATAAAGAATGTTCCTCAAAATTGTTCCTAACAAATTTAATTATTGTGCATGTGTTAATTTGTTTAGATGGTATAAGTTAGTCTTATCCTATTAGACCCCACATTCATAAAAGAATTGGATAAAGGAAAATTTATATTGTTGAAGATGAAAGAATAAGTCCGATAAGTACAACTTGATTAATAACTTTAAGAACATGAATGTATATAATTCTAAGTTGGAATTTTGAATTTGCCATTTCATCACGTTTAAAATGTAAGAGTTTCGTCACTAGTTTAGTAGAAAAAAATACATGTAACAATAAAGATACTGCTCAACGGTCCATAGTTTCAAGGTTAGTGTATTAATTCACACTTAATTGAAAGGAGTCATGATAGTTAATCTCATTGCCTTGTCCATTATATTGTTCATATCATGTACTTTTTCTATTTCTTAAAATTTAGTTAAAATCTTACTCCTCTATTTCACTTCACTTGTACCCAAAATAGTGTCACACCACTTAGAACCATTGTAAACTCATTCATCTTCTTCCTATTTATTGATTGCCGTTATCTGAAAAACTTAATCTAAATAACATTCAAAGAAACTAAAGATTTAATAAGTAGCCAAAAATTCTGATAGTACTAATGACTAGTATAATGGTACCAATGGCTGCTATACCATACATAGAAGAAGCCAAAGAATAAGTCATTTATTAATTTGAACTGTATTTGTGCTCACCTTATCAAGTATGAAGCCAAAGAATGGAAACAATGGCTACAAAAACTTCAAGGAGCTTTCTCAAATGGCGCCGTATCGTTATAACAAGTATTCCATACAGCATCCATAGAATCCTTGGCAGTCGAACCAGAACAAAACGGATTTGCAGCCAATGACTTCATAACTCTTCTTTTGATGCATTCTTGTTCATGCCCTTTTATCCTCAAAAAGCCTCGCAAAAGTTCCCGTTTATAATGACAATCACCACTCAAATGAGCAGCTCTTATCTCACTACAAGCATGGTGAGCACAATTAGTCCAATCCAAGTTTGCAGCTCGACAGTCATCAAAGGCATGAATTAGCTCATGGATTATCACCTGCGTAACATTGTCTTGATTTTGTTTCTTATTTGCGCACACAGTTATCCCCTTACCGGGTGTAAAAACGCCACCATACGAATTTAAACAGATCGTGGCTTTGAAGAAATTGTCTTTAACAGGACACCCACCTTTCTCCATTTGTTCCCTCAAGGTCTTCACCAATGGATTGTTGAGACTCTTTTGAATCATGAGCTCGCAGTCCTTTAAACATTTGTCGAGGTTAGCATCGCCGCGTCTCAGCTTGTCCAGGTCCAGATTCATTGTTAGTTAAAACAAGTAAGGCTTCAAAATAATATGATAAAAACTTGATTAAGAATAGCAATTTGGAGTTTTAAGAACTTAGTAATATCATCAACAGCAACAATCAAGTGTTATCCTACTAAATAAACTCTCTAACAATTAAGTTTGTTTACCTTAATCCTATGTTTCTCTTTCTTTTGAGCAAAGCAGGGTTTTTGCCACAACCGGCGTTCGACAGAGAAGAATGAAGGGTTAAAGCAGCAAGGAAGACTATGGCGGAGGAGAAGTTTGAGCAGTTGAAACTCCAGTTTAGATTCCTAGGGATGAAGAAGCACTGAGAAATTGGGCCATCAGATTTTGGGCTTGGTTTTTACTCTACACTGGATATTCGGCAATCTGTCTTGGCACCCTTACAATTGAACCTTTCACCTCCCAAAACGTTGCTTTGACTATAATGCCCTTTGTCCTAAAAAGTAAAATTATTTTTATTTTTCATTTTTTGGGTATTTTTCATAAGCTGTGCAGTTTACACATATTTCATATTTTTACAAGTCCCATTTATTTTTGGTTAAAACTTTGAATTTTTACTAGAAATTTAAGATTTTTTATCGCATTTATATCAGAATTTTTAAAATGTATGTAAAATCCAATAATTCAAATGCTATTATATTGGAGTTTTTGAAAATTTCGGTAGATCAGCATACATTTTTATCGGTATTTTTTAAATATCCGATAAAATACATACATGTATATCATATATTTAAAAAATTCTAGTAAAATAGATTGTTGGTAACAAGATTTTTCAAAAGTGTCGATAAAGTCGTGTTTATTTTTGAATTTTTTTTAAAAACTTTGACATTTTTTATGAGAAGACTAAAAGTCAATCAATCTCATTTCAAACCATTTTGTCACTTTGGCTTTTTACTTTAAAAACTTTTCTCAAAAGATTGGACTTTTGTCAATCCTTGTAGTGATGCAAACAACTATACTTCTACAATATGTAGCGAAGTGAGATATTTCCACTTGGGTGTTGAGTGAGGCATTGTTGATTTTAAAATCCAAGCTATATTCTCCACTTTGAGATGATGCAAATTCTCCTTTCTCATGATTGTGGGTAGTAAGTATGTTTTTCACACGGACAATGACGATGATGTCTTATCTCATAAAATTAACCAACACACTTGTGTTTTAAAATTTTTTAAAGAGGAACTACGTGTAACCTGGTCTCCTATTGCACGAAAGGTGGTACATATACACTAAAGGTTCGCAACCGCGACGGGTGCAAAAACCATAAAAAAAATACTTCTTTTCTCACCCCCACCATCTATTTTTTATACAACATTTTATAGTCAAAATATACAGATTTTACAAAGAGGTTCCTGCGATGTACCGTAGATGTTTAGGGTGTTAATACCTTCCCTTTGCATAACCAACCCCCTTACCTAGAATCTTTCCCCCTCTTTTTGGGTTACTCGCTCTTTTTCCATTCCTTTGGAAACAACAAAGCACGGTGGCGGTTTTTATTTTGATTTGTATAAGTCTAGTCAATCCAATGGTCTAGTCTTAAACATTTCTACCGCTACACCCAGAAGTTCTGGCCCAGGCGTGCTATTAACAAGTAAATGAGAAATTCTGGCTCAGGTGTGCTGTTAACAAGTAAATAGGGGGGTGATGATGGAAGCAAAAATGAGAAAGCCCAGAAGTTCTGGCCCAAGCGTGTTATTAACAAGTAAATGGGGGGGTGATGCTGGAAGCAAAAATGAGAAAGCCCAAAAATTTTGGCCCAGGCGTGCTGTTAACAAGTAAATGGGGTAAAATATTAAGAAATAAAAGCAAAATATGCTCATGGGGCTAGAACCCAAGACCCTTAACATTAATGCCTTACGCACGCGCTCTCTACCACTGGGGTGGCTATACATCCAGTATCATAAACAAAACCATAAATATATATTACAAAACCAGTTCAAATGATGAACTTCATCTTCTTTCTCGCGCCAGCCAGAGCATCTGCAACCCATTCATTTCTCAACCAAAATGGAAAATGTAAACATGAAAGTTATGACAAATTTCATCATGGTTCCAGAACTTTAAAGCATTAAAACTATAAATAAAAAATAAGCATGAATTTTGCTAGCTCTAATCTGAAACCTCATTTTTCCAAGAAGTTATGATCCAAAATTCTCTCTACTCAGGCCATATAAATGAAAACTATGGATATATACATGTTCAGGGCAATGATATTTACATTTTGTCTTTGAAAATGAAAGCCTAAAAATGCCTAAACAATGAGATGAAAATCAGAAAAACTCACCTTGCAACTGGAGATCATGTTTTGAATTAGATCTTGATTGAAGTTGTTGTGATGATCTGGTTAGCTTCCTCAAGTTCTCAGGAAGCTAATGCAACCCTTAGCTTGAGTTATGATTGGCTGGAATGTTCTGGAGAAGTCAAGATGTAATGCCCTATTTTTGAAAATGGAGGTTGGTGAAGATGGTGTTAACCCTAGAGGTACAAAGTGTGCAAGTGTTTTACATTTCATGCTTGATTTTGTCTTAGATTAGGGTTTTCTAAGCATTGATTTTATCTTTCCATACAAACCCTAAATTACTAGCATTTATATGAAAGCGATAAATTGCGTGAAGTAAAGATCCTACGATATTACATCATTTGGGGATGGGGTGTACAAATTTATAAATGGGGATTGCAAGAAATTAAACCTAGTTATCTATTACAATCATATTGAATTTGAATAATGTACAAGAATTGAAATGTATATAATGTACAAGAAATGGAACGCATATAATGCATAAAAATAAAAACGAAAAAAGAAATGGAATTTATTTTGGATTTTATTTAAGAAAAGGGGTTTTTGACCTAATTAACTAAAAGAAAATAATTAACTAAAATAAGAAAAAATTAAGATTAAGTTAATGAACAAAGAAACTAATTTTATTTGAAGAAAGCAATTTTTTTGGGTTTTATAGAAGAATGTTGATTAAATTAGTATACAAAGTTAATTAATTGAGAAAATCCTAAATTCTAAAGTAATTTTAATTTTAAAAAAAAAGAAAATGAACTAAATCTAAGTTTAATGTTAAGTTCAAGAAAAGAAATTAAATAGGAAGATATTTTTTGGTTTTCATTTTTATTTTAAGAGGTTAAATAAAAATAAACTAAATAACTTAAACATTTAATATAATACAATTTTGGTATTTATGATTAATAAAAATAATAATAATAATAAAATTAAAGTCAAGGGGTTTAGAAAGTAGAAAGAATGTTTGTAAGTGAAACTGATTTCTGTTTGGTTTAGGCCCAAATGTATTTTTGTGATCAGAATCAGAAAGAAAATAAAAAGAAGGTTATGCTGGGTGTTGTTGGAAGCAAAAATGAGAAAGCCCTGAAGTTTTGGACCCAAGTGTGCTGCTAACAAGTAAATATGGGGGTGATGCTGGAAGAAAAAATGAGAAAGCCCAGTGTTGTACCTCAATTTTTGCCCCTAAGATCCCTTCATCATACCATATTGATTCAATCACAACAAGATCACATTAGGGCTTTTGGTTCTCCTCCCTATCTTTAGCTTTGCTCTTTGAGAAATCACCAAGCACCTTGACTTGTTTTTCTTTTGTGTTCATGCATGTTTTGTTTTGAATTTCCTTTTAATTAATAAAATGCAATGTTGGTTTGCCTTACTAGTTAATAATGTAGATAAAGGCAATGTGGCTTAGAAGTTGATCCATGGGTTCATGAGTTTATTTCCATGCCCTAGTCAATAAAGCTTGAGAAATTCAAACCTCACCATTGAAGTTGTTTTGGAAGAAATGACATGGCAAGGTTTATTTTGATTCACCATATTTCAAAGTTATCAAGATTGATTCAAAAGTACAAGGGGTTGATTGAAGAAGTTGTCATGGTTGGATAAGGCCTTGTTCCCATTGATCACAAGTGCATATTTTTCTCAATTCTCAAGATATGTAAGTGGTTTTGGTTGCTATGAGTTCTCATTATCATCCTAAATAACTTCTATCTACAAAGAAAAAGTGTTGGTACAAGAAGGTTGTTTAAAATTGTCAAAGTTCCTCAAAGCATTTTCTTGATCTAGGAGCTAGGGTTTTGAACTTCAAAGAAGTATATCTTACTCATCTTTTGGTATTTTTAAGTGATTCCAAAAACATCCTTCTCTTCAAAGGATTATTAACAAATCACTTCAAAAGTTTCAAGGAGTCTTCAAGTGTAAGAAACTTGATGATGAAGAAAGATTACAAGTCCTCTAGATGAACCCCCAACTGCCCATGTGTGACTTCAAATGATCATAACTTGATCAATTTTTATCACCTTGAGCCTACTATTTTTGCACAATGATATTGAGGAGTGAACTTTATTCCTTCTTTTAAATGAAAAGTGAGAAAATGGATGGAAGATGCTCTAAGGATACAAAAGATTATAGGTCATTTCATAATTTTTTGCCAACTTCAACAATTCATAACTCTCTCAATTTTTGGAGATTTTGAATGGTTCAAGTTTCAAAATGTCATTCAAGAGGTATATTTCATGCCATATTTTTTGGTCAAGAGTAAATTCCAAGAGGAAGACCATGTTTGGATGCAAAATATTATAGGTCACTTTTGAAGAAAAAACTTGAAATATTTCTAAGTATGGAAAGTCAACCTCTTTTTCCCAACTTTGACTCATTGCAACTTTAAGCTCAAACATCCATTTGATTCCATTCTTTTCCCATTTCAAAGCTTGTAGTCTCATCTTTCTAAAG